AGAATTGCTTCTTTGTCTCCCTACCCCTAGTTTATGCATTGGTTTGTATTTATCACTGGGAAGTTTTCTGATGTCTAATCTTTTCCTTCCCCCTACAACTGCTGATCTTGTTTCTTGAGTAGATAGTAGATAGAATGGGTCCTTTCCTTAGTCAGATGTCCAGGCAAAAAGATTAAAAAAAAAAAGGTCTTCTAATCTGATTGTGCTTAAGAACAGATTAAAGGGTTTTGGTTTTTTGTTGTTGTTTTTTGGTGAGGCAGTTGGGGTTCAATGACTTGCTCAGGGTCACACAGCTAGTAAATGTCAAGTGTCTGGTCTGAGACCAAATTTGAACTCGGGTCCTCCTGACTCCAGGGCCAGGGCTCTATCCATTTCACCACCTAGCTGCCCTTAGGGTTGTTGTTTTTATTAAAATAAGTGGATTCACTGCAGAATTCCTATAAACAGTATGATTCCATAGTACATTTAAAAATCAGACTTAGATTGCAAAAATTTGGTTTATCACACTGTGTGACCTTAGACAAGTCATCTGAACTTCTTCGGGTCTCAGTTTCCTCATCTGTAAAATGAGGGGCTTGGACTAGGTGACCTCTGCAGTGCCTTCCATGTCTAAATCTATGATCCTACAACTTCTCAAGACTATTGTACCAACAGGATGCACCTTTTTATACATTGAGAACTGGAAAATGCTTGTGGAATACAGAGTAAAAGATTGCAATTGCAGGGAGTCAGGGAAGCTGTGCTGTCCTTGAGAGGGTTGGGGACCTGGCATTAGGGGCTTCTGTTGCCTCTTTCCATCTCCAGAGAAAAATCAGCTCTTGATGGCTTAGTCACTCACTACTTTCTCCTCAATCCTTCTGATTCCTAGCGTTTGGCCAGCAGCCAGACCTACCCAACTGGTCCCTCAGCTGATCTCCCCAGAAAGGAGTTAGACCAGATTCACCTAAGACATCGGGATCAAGGGAAAGAGAAGTTGCATTCTCAAGAACAAGAGTTGCCCCAACTCCTCCCAGAATGGCCAGCCATGAACTTGACATGGATCCACACATCCCCTATTTGCAACCCACCTCTCAGTTCTCTTGGCTCAGCTGCCTTCAGCCATGGTCTCCTGGGTCCTGGGGCCAGCTTTGGGGTTATCCTCTTCCTTCAACATGGAGCACAATCTTTTGCCTATTCAGCACCCACCACTCCTGTCCCTGATGCTACAGTGTCTCCTATTGTCTGTGATGGTCCTAAGAACCTCCCTGAAGAAGGGCCTCGTTGCTACAGTTTGCCAGTTTCTCTAGCATCCACTCCACTGACCTCAGAATGGAGCCGTGCCCCATCCTCACCCTGTTTATCTACTGTGGCTAGGGAGATGACAACTAGAATGGATGAAAAACAGGCCCTTCATTTCTGCTGATGTCCCATTCTCCCCATCCCAACTATAGGACTGTCCTCTCTGCTCTGGTTTCTATTTTATGTGTGTTTTTTTATTTTATTTTTTGAAGTGTGTATATTTGTGCTGAGGGGATAGAAACCCTCTCTGATTAAAGTAATGTTACACCTGAATTATTTGTTGATTTGAGGAAGCAGAACTGTACACTTGAGTGATCTCTCTCTCTCTCTCTCTCTCTCTCTCTCACTCACACACACCCCCCCCCCAACCAACGTTTTCTTCTTAACTGGAAAGTACAAGCAGAAGGGATTTTTTACACTCCCTTCAGAGGCATCTTTTTGGGACAACTCTCAGTTAAATTGTATGTTTCACTGTTTGGTTTGTTTCTAATTAATTCCAGGACTGCCATCCTCATTTTTTTTGTTATCTTCCACTGACCCAGATCAGCAGCTTCTACTGTGAGCTAGCCATTTACAGCAGGCTGTTGATGTTTTGGGGTGTGTATGTGTGTGTTGGGGAGGTGAGTCTCATGTAATTGTTGCCAAGGTAAGGATGTAAGAGCTTAGAACACCCACAGCTGGCTGCCAGTTCCTAAAGAGGGAGGAACAGTATTGAATTGTCAGGAGTTCCCTCAGGCATGAGCTTTAAGTCCTAGGTGTAGGAAGAGGGAAAGGCTCCCTATTTTGTTGTTCAGCTCTTTGTGATTCTGTGGACCTAGCATGCTAGTCCTGTCCAGGCAAAGATCCTGGAGTGATTTGCCATTTCCTTCTCTAGTGGATTTTAAGGCTAACAGAAGTAAGTGACTTGCCCAGGGTCACACAGCTAGTGAGTGTCTGAGGCCCAATTTGAATTCGGGTCTTCCTGACTACAGGCCCAGCACTCTGTTCACTGAGCCATCTAGCTATGCTCCCCTCCAACTTAGAAGCAAAGTGTAGTTATAAACAATTATACATCTACTTTTCTCACCCTGAGTTCTTGTTGTATCAGGTTCAGCCTCCTGTTGAAGACTGCCCTGTGTGAACATGTCTCATGGTAGCACTTCAAAGTCTAGACTAGAGTAAGGAAAACATATACAAATCTTTTATTTCCCCCTTCCCTTCTTGTCTATATCCTCTTTGTTGTGCATGACCTTGACAACTATTTGACTGAAAATCAGGGGCAGAATTAAGTGTGCCTCATCCTCTTTGAAAATGGCAGCATTTTCCCCATTCCCCTTTACCTTGGTCTATCCTCTTATTCCCTCATTGCCTTTCCTGGATTCTCAGTTGTTGTTTTTTTTTTTTCCCCTCACTGCCTGAGCAAAGGGGCTGAGGTATTGCGTTTCTTGGAAGGCAAGAAAAATTTTATCCTTTTTACTATCTCTCGGCCTTTTCAGGCAGGCAGTGGCCTCATAGAATCTTGAGTTGGAAAGGACATCAAAGGTCCTTTAATTAAACTTCTTTCAATAACTTTTTTTAAAAAATCATTTTTATTTACCTCTACTAGTCCATTTCTATTGACTACGCCTTTTAATTCAATTTTAATTTTTGAGCACCTAACTTTTTGACATCTATAAGGCAGTAATAGTTTGGTTCTCAGCTCTCTGATCATTCTTATTTTGTTTCATGATTCTATTCCTTTCTCCCAAAAGTAGGAACATCCCAAGGCTCTTTTTCTAAACTACCTCAGATAATTCACTTTTATACTTTCAGCTCTCACCTCTACTCAGATAAATCTCAGATCTTTATCTGACCTTCTTTCTGAATGCCAATCCCACATTTCTGACTGCTGACTATCTACACTGGGATATCCTCCTTTCCCCTGAAACTCAAATAAAAGTACAAAATTTTAGAATTGGAAGGGACTTCTAAGTTCATCTAATTAAATGTTGGCATTTTATAGATGAAGGAACTGGAGGCCAGAGAAATTACTTGTCCAGGTCAAATGTCTTTTGCCTTCCAGTCCAGCCTTTTCTACTGTACTGACTAGTTATCATTCATAGCCCCCATATGTCATTTGGCACTATCTCTTATTATTTATTTTTTATATATAAGACTTGCCTGGTCAAGATCTGTCATATATCTTTGTGTCTTTTAGTAGCTAGCATAATACCTCGAACAATAAATGTCCAATAAGTGTTCATTATGTTGATGCCTTGGCCTGGAAAAATTGGTTGGGATCTCTTTGTGTTTGGGTCCTGGCTTTCTTTGGAAATTCAAAATATGTATGTTCTTTCTGACGTGCTTGTCTATTTGTTAGTATTTTCCTAGGTTATACTCATTATTCCAGCTTTTCCTTTCCTGAATTGTGACTTTGCTCCAGGCTCTGGTAATTTCTGGAATTTTTAGGGCTTTCTTTGGTCCTGATCTGTGTTAGCTAGGCTTATGAGTGCTGTGTTCATGGACCACTGGCTATCCTGCTGCAAAGGCCTGGAATAGTTTGATCTCTGTAGGCTTCTATTCCTGAGTCCTAGTTTGGGGGTCTAAGTAACACAACAGCAGGCTAGGAATCCTGGCTAAGACCCTGGTCTGATCTCCCACCTCTCTTTCCCCAGAACATAGCTTCAAGCTCTAGGATTCCTTGGCATGCTCCTTCCTGGTCCCTGAGATGGAAGGCTTCTGTGAGATGAGCAGATAGACAGAGTCTTTCTGTACTGAACTTTTCTCTATATCCATAAGATTCTGGCTGGCTGTATGGATTTGAGCTGGCAAAAATGAACTTAACTGTAGTTTCTCTTTGGATTTTTAGAAAAATCATTACTCTGCCCTGATATTAGTTTTAAAAAATTCTTGATGGAGTAGTGGGGGAACTTGGCCATTTTGCATCCACGTTTTGACATCTTGAGAGACCCCTGCTGTATTTGTCTACATCTGTCAGAACAGATCTCTGCCCTGGTATGTGCTTTGTGTTTATGCCTTGGGGGAGGTAATAGTCCTTGTAATTAAGTGGTTGCTTTAGGGAGGGAATCTTTTCTTTTTTATCCTCCCTTCTCCCATTGACTTTGGAGGGCCCCTTAGCGACCCAGTAACCCTTGACAGACATAGGTGGAGTTTGAATGCCATAGAGGGAAATTTTTCTTATGGAGAGAGAGAGAGAGAGAGAAAAGAAGGAGAAGGAGAAGCAGCAACCTGAAGACTTTCCAAGAACTAAAAGTCAGATGGAGGGGGAAAAGAAAGCAGCTGTCAGAACTGATTATTTGGTTCATAATATCCCTGTTTTGGGGAAAATGCCGAGAACAGGCTTATCGTGGGTATATTACACTTCAGTCTTTGGAAGAGGACCTGTTCCTTTGTACGTGCAACCCCAGCAGCCAAATTAGGCGCCCGATAAATACTCGATAATAGTTGGGGCAGGACTAGTGGGAGAAGAGAGGCCTGGCATGCACCGCTTGTCTTGATCTCTCCCACTCCTTTCTGAGACTAAGGGGGGGTGACAGGAGGTCCCTGGTCCTGTCGTCTCCCCTGAAAGAGAGAAAGAAATGGGTAGCGACAGTAGAGACGGCATGCAGCCTTCCTGAAGACGCAGGCCAGGACGGCGCAGGGGCTGGCGTCCAGGAGCTTCGCGCTCCCAGACTTGAGCCTTAGAGACCTGGGTACCAGAAGGTTGCCATGGTTTCGCCAGGCGCGAGCGCGCGTGCGCAGCTCCGCCCCGCTCCCGGCCCCTCGCGGGCGCCAGCAGCTTCTTTTCTTCCGTCCGGCCCTGCTGGGGGAATTACAGTTTCCGCTTCCGGTCGCGACGCAGGCTCAAGGTCGGTCAGTCCCAGAGGACGCGGGTTGAGGAGTTATGTTCCTGGGGTGGAAAAAGATGGGGAGAACGAAGGGGGCCCCGAGAGACCTTCGCTTTCCCCTCACAAAAGCAGAGCAGGCCCGGGGCGGAGGGTGGGTTACCGGAGCTAGAAGGGGTGGTCGCAACCACGAGTGCGCCTTTCGGCCGTGGGGTGGAGTTCGTCACCATCTCATCTCCCGTCCCCCCTTCTGAGCTCGGCCAAACCCTCGGTCTTGCTAGACACCTCACGTCCCAAGCGGTCCCCAGCGTGTGCGGACCTCCACGTGCCCCATCTCAGCCCTTAGGCACCCATCTTTAGAACGCTTCTCGGTCCTCGTTTGCAAGCATACCCTGCATTTCACTGGATCTTTTTATTTTTATTTATCTGGATTTCATTTCCATTTCTCCAGCTGACAGTCGTCTCACCACCGCCCCCGCCCCACGCTCCCACCCTTCAGCTGCTTTAGTCGAAAACTCCTTTCCTTACAAGGACAACTTTGTCCCAAGATCATGGCAAACCACCTGAAGTTCATTGCCAGGACAGTGATGGTGCAGGAAGGGAATGTGGAAGGTGCATACAGGACCCTGAACAGGTAACTGCTGGGAGATCTGCAGCTGCTCCCCCATATTATGGGGAAAGTGATGCTTTTCTTCGTCCCTAACATGTATCTGGATAATTTTTAAACCTGTGATACCCTTGGTCCTAAACAGGTTGAGGGAAGAAGTTCATCTAAAGTTCAACTGTGAATAATGTTTATTGGTTATAAGTACAGCCCAGTTGTATGTGACATAAAATAGGGCAAACATCCTGTTCCTGCCCTCGTGGATCCTGCAGTGTAATTGGAGAATTAAGATGTAACCTCACAAAACAGTCTGAGAGTATGAATGGCACGGCCTGTCTTAGTGGATACTCTGCCTGATCTGGAGTCAGGAAGACCCCTCTTCAAATCTGGCCTCTGATGCTTGCTTGCTGTGTTACCATGGGCAAGTAGCTTAACCTCTCAGAGACTCAAGGATGCAAATCTTATCGATTAGAGATGTGTAATCTGCTTTAGTGGAAGGAGTTCCTATTGATAAGATGGTAACATATATACTTTGCAATTCTTAAACGCTACATAAATATCATTGATGATGATAATAATCTAACGTTATTATTCAGCACCTAGGGGCTAGGGCATACAAAAACAACATCAGACCTGAAAGAAAGGTAACTTTCTGCTGGGGAGGACATAGCATGTAAACAAATAAGAAAATAAAAGTAATTTGAAAAGGGAGAATCAGGAAAGACCTCTGGTAGGAGATCACATCTGAACTGTGCTTTTAAGAAAGAGGGATTCTGAGAAGACATGGGGGCCGGAATGCATTCATGCTCTAGCCACTTCACCACCCAGCTGCCCCAATACTAGTTTCTAAATATATGATATCCCTTAGTGCTAAGGGAGAGTTTCCTAATATGTAAAATGAAGGTAAAGTGAGGAAAGCAATTTGCAGACCTTAAGGTGCTATAAAAATATGAGTTGTCATTAATAAAGGATTTGGGCAGACATCTGAGATTGAAGTAAAGAGACACAACAGACCAAAGTACAGAGGTAGGAGTGAAATGGGAGGTGGTAAAGTTAGATTACTAAGTGGAGGGCCTTTGGTAGTATTGAGAAATAAAGTTGGATAAGTAGTTGATGAAAAGTCTTAAATGATAGATGTGATGATATGGATCTGTTAATAATTGCTTATGTTTATATACTGTTTTATGACTAAAGGATTTTGAACAGCTTCTGCTATACTGATCGTAAAATCTTAATTTTGAAGCTGGAATAGGCTTTAATAAATTACTTAAGTGACATTGTATCCATTTTATATGAAGCAACTGAACCTTAGATTAAGGGATGCCCAAGACCTGGATAGGGGACCTTTGGCCTCAAGGCCACATGTGGCCCTCTAGGTCCTCAAGTGCAGCCCTTTGACTGACTCCAGACTTCACAGAACAAATCTCCTTAATAAAGGGATTTGTTCTGTAAAACTTGGACTCAGTCAAAAGGCTGCACTTGAGGACCTAGAAGACCACATGTGGCCTTGAGGTGGAAAGCTTCTCACCCCTACCCGAGACCATGAAGCTGGTGACTAGGGAGGAGTAGAGAGTGAAGTAAAAGCCAGGTCTCTTGCCTTTTAGTGAATTGATTTTCATAATTCTGATTAAAACTGCTTTCTTGTCTCAAATGGAAAAGCATTCAGTAGTAATTACATAATTATAGAATGTTAAAGTTAGAAAAAAAGTCTTAAAGATTATCTCATTCAGCTTCATTTTACAGATTAAGAAAAGATGAGGAAAACAGAGGATTGAAGTGACTTGCCCACAGCTAGTAAGTGGCAGATCTGGAGCTTTTCAAATCTTCTGGCTCTCAAGTACAGGCTCCAGGTCCTTAAAACTATACTATATTTATTTCCTAGATCTCTAGTTAAGAATCCTTATAAGATAATATTTAAATATTAGAGAGTTTCTTGGGCTCTCTCAGAAAGGGAGACTCATAGCTAGAAGGGGTTTTTGGGCCCCCCTCCCCAAATGAGGGATGGTGGTGAGGGGGAGAAGAATATAGGGATAGAGTTGTTGTCCCCCTTCCTCCTCCCCAAAGAGAGGGTTATTAGCTTTTTTTTTTTAAATACACAGAAGAGAAAAGCAGGGCCAGAAGGAATCAGAAACACGTAGGGCAGCTTTGAAAGTTACGTGTTGAGTTTATATTTTTAAAGAAAAACAGCTAGGTGGCACAGTGGATAGAGTGGTTAGAACCCTGGCCCTGGAGTCAAGAGGACCTGAGTTCAAATCCAGTCTCAGACCAGACACTTGACACTTACTAGCTATGTGATCCTGGGCAAGTCACTTAACCCCAATTGCCTTGCCAAAAAAAAAAGAAAAATAAGCTATACATCACAGATATTTTTAATTTCATGTACAATTCTCTTTCTGTTCTACTGTGTATATGGAAATAATTATTTGGTGTTAAGTTCAGAATAAAAAAAATAGGGAGTTGGAGCTGGAGAAGCAGGGAGTGCCAGGTTGGAGGGTGGCATTAAGAGAAATGTGATGATGGAGAGAAAAAAGATGGCATTGACAAAAGTTCGCTCTGAGGCAATGAAAAGGAGAGAAGATTAATGTATGTTTTCATGAGGCAATTGAGGACTATGGGTAAGTCTTTGAACACACTTTACAAATTTATTTCTATCCCCTGCTCTCTTTGTAGTGAGACTTTTGTTGTTGAAGGAAAGCTTATTAAAGCAAATAGTTGGTCTGATGCCCTGCTGCCTCCCTCCCTTTTGCTCCTACTTGCAGCATACCTAAAAGGTGGGATTCAATGATTTATTCAACTTGGGAGAAATGAATTTGCTCTGAGCTTTGAAAAATAACTCATCATGGTTAAGAGTTTGGGAGAAGTGGCATTACAGGTACATGGAACTGTCAGTAAACATTTATTAAGTGCCTGCTGTGTGCCAGGCACTGGGTGGGCTAAGCACTGAGGAGATAGAAAGAGTTCAAAGAAAGTCTTTGCCTTCAAGGAGCATCCAGTCTAATGGGAGAGACAACTAGCAAACAAATACGTACAGACAAGCTATGTACAGGATAATAGGAAATAATTAAAGGCAGGCACTGGAATTAAGAGGGGTTAGGAAAGGCTTCCTAGAAGATGGGATTTTAGTTGAGACTTAAGCCAGGGAAGACACTAGTCAGAATTGAGGAGGGAGAGCATTCCAGTCATGAGGGGCAGCCAGAGAGAATGTGTTGAGTGGAGGGATGGGGTGACTTGTGTCACTGGACTGAAGAGGATGTATTTGTGAGGAAGGTTTCAGAAGACTTGAAAAGTAGGAGGGGGCTAGGTTTTGAAGGGCTTTGAATGCCAAAGAGAGGATTTGATATTTTATTCTGGAGGTTATAGGGAACCACTGGTTTACTGAGTAGGATATGGATATGGACATGGACCTGTGGCAGGGTCAGAGGAGAGGAGTGGGCATTGCAAAGGTGAAATCGACTGGCCTTTGAAATGGAGGATGATTCCAAGCTTGTGAGCCTGAGGGCCTCGGAGGTTGGTGTTGTCCAATAGGGAAGGAAGGATTGTGGGAGGATTTAAGGGGAAGATAATGAGTGTAGTTTTGGATATGGTGATACCTACTGAACATCGTCCAAGACATCTTGTTAGAAACGTCTGAAAGGCAGTTGGACATGTAAGGTCGGAGGTCAGCAGAGGTTGTGATTTATGAGCTCCTGAGCTATAAGAGTGAGTTAATCTCATCATTTAACTGAAATTGCTTTCTTTCTAAATTGCTTTATTCAGTGGCTTTGTCCATTCTTATCCTTCTTGACCTTTCTGCAGCATTGACACTGCTGACTGCCCTCTCCTTACTGGGTTTTCATAATGCCCGCCGATCAGGGTTGCTTTACATTTGCTGTGTTTGAGTGTGTGTGCACACACCCCTTCACCAGTGCCCACCCAATAGACCATATTAAGCCAAGCCCTTCTGTCCTCCGCTATCTCTAAAGTCTATTCAAGTTCATGTTCATTATTTCCATGACATTACCTATCCATTTCTTTCTCTGTTGTCCCCTTCTCCTTTTGCCTTCAGTCTTTCCCAATAAAAGGGTCTTTTTCCGTGAGTCCCATCTTCTCATTATGTGGCCAAAGTATTTAAGCTTCAGCTTCAGTATTGACTTTCTAGTGAATAGCCTGAATTAATTTCTTTAAGTACTAACTGGTTTGATCTCCTTATTGTCCAAGGGATTCTTAAAAGTCTCCTCTAGCACCACAATTCAAAAGTGTTCATTTTGCAGCACTCAGCTTTCCTTATAGTCCAATCTCACAGCCATACGTTGTTACTGGAAAAACCGTAGCTTTGATGTTACAGACCTTTGTCAGCAAAGTGATGTCTCTGCTTTTTAGTATGCTGTCCAGGTTTGCCATAGCTTTCCTTCCAAGAAGGAAGCATCTTTTAATTTCATGGGTGCAGTCTCTGTCTTCAGTGATCTTTGAGCCCAAGAATATAAAATCTGACACTGCTTCCATTTCTTCCCCCTTGACTTGTCAGGAATCAGGTTGCTAAGATCTTAGTTTATTGATAATTAATGTTCAAGCCAGCTTTTACACTCTTCTCTTTCACTCTCATCAAAGAGGTTTCTTAATTCCTCTTCACTTTCTGCCATCAGAGTGGTATGATCTGCATATTGAAGATTGTTGATGTTTCTTTCTCCCTGCAACCTTGATTCCAGCTTTTGATTTATCCAGTCTGGCATAAAAGTTAAATAAATAATGCAACGATATACAACCTTCTTATACTCCTTTTCCCATTTTAAACCAATCAGTTGTTCCATGTTCAGTTCTAACTTTTGCTTCTTGGCCCACATAGCAGTTCCCTAGGAGACAAGTAAGATGATCTGGTATTCCCTCAGGACTTGCCACATTTTGTTGTGATCCACACAGTCATTGAAAAAAATTAAATTTTTAAAAAGGAGGGAATTGATGTAATATTTTTTAAGGCACAGTTGACTTCTCACACTGTTTAACAGGTTTGTGATGAAGAAGAAGAATGATGACTCCATGGCTGAGAGCCAAGT